CAAAGCACTTTGCATGATATGTGACGTCACGTATCGCGCGTGGCACGTGCACTTTGTGCACAATGAACTTACTCACTTGTGCATGCTTTTTGAAATCTAAAGTTCGCACATCTGATATTGACAATTGAAGAACGGTTGATATTTCTCCAGCCTCTAAATGTTGTGGAAAACACGTTAATTTCAATCTAACATGCGCGTGCGTCATGCCACGGCTTACAGAAAATCTACGCCGTGGGTATGCTGGAGACTGGATTAACCCAAAATGACGTGGCCAGACATTTTGGTGTCCATCGAAACACGATCTCATCTCTATGGAGACGTCACGTCAGCAGGACAACCACATTTGGCTGACCCATCTAAGGAATCGATTCCATTCAACTATTTTGACTGCTCGGACCATACCTGTCTTACGTCTAATCAGCTCCAGGACTGTACAGAACACAACATCGATACACAACTGCAATACGTCCAATTTTGCTCCAACAGAAGAGAAAATTGGGATGGTGTTTTGTTCACTGATGAGTCGAGATTCATTTGGACAGCTCCGATGGCAGGGCGGCAGGGCAAGGGTGTAAAGACGGCGAGGTGAACAGTATCTTGATGCGTGCGTTGTTGAACGTCGACAATTTGGTGGCGCTAGCGTTATGGTATGGGACAACATCATATCTCATGGTGGGACACAACTTGTCATTGTCAATAGCAATGTGACAGGTTTGCGAGACAGGTTATGAATCATTGGGTCTCATGTACAGCCGTTCATTCAAAGACAGAGACGTAACTTCACGCTTCAGCAAGATAATGCCCGTCCAATTGTCGCCTGTGTTGTGACAGATTTCCTGAGACAACAGAACATCCCCGTACTCCTCTGACCAGCTGCTTCTCCGGACCAGTCCCCTATCGACTGACTGACTGAGTTTAGTTGTACGCCGCTTTTAGCAATTTTCCAGCAATATCACGGCGGGGACACCAGAAATGGGCTTAACACATTGTGCCCATGTGGGGAATCGAACCCGGTCTTCGGCGTGACGAGCCAACGCTTCAACCACTAGGCTACCCCACCGCCCCAGTCCCCTATCGAGCACGCTTGGGATGAAATGGAGCAACGTTTTTACGCCAAGCCATTGATGATAGCTGAATTGGGACAAGCGTTGGTTCAGACATGGAACAACATTCCCCAAGATTTCTTCAATCGTTAGTGTCGCCAATGGTGAACACACACGATACCGAATTTGTGAACTGACTTCTGACACCACATGGACGTGCCACCAAACAACGTGCCAAATAAAAAAATTATATTAAGACCTGTACATCAGTCTTCTTTCTATGCACCTTTGTATAATAACATTTCCCTGAACTTTCACTTTTCCTCTGTCTCTGTTTCTAATAATTGCTTGTGATGTAATTAATTATTGTAAATATCTTTGGAGAGGGTTTTATAAGTTGTCAGTGATCCTTTTCACTTTGTGAATAAACTATGTGTAAACTAAAGGACGCGCCTAGTGTAAAATCATACAGAATTCGATATTATCCTGTCAACAGCTAAACAGTGATTAAGGAAAACACCACAAACCATGTTACTATCTTTTTGCATAAAAATTTGCATAACATCAAATAATGCAGTTACTTTATTCCAGTACTATAGATTAGCAGCATGTAGACGAGTCCTACTGGACTAGCTTGATGGCAGTTTACAGCAATTTGATTGACGAGTCGACCGTCAACGTTTAGGGTTTATTAGGTACCCGTTCTATGGGCTGCTAATCACAGACTGAAACACCGTGCCACTGCACGCTTCCATCAGTTCCCACCAAGCCACGCATCGCTTGTCCACACGCAAACAAGGAATGGAATCTCGACTTCAAACTGCAAAATCTGTAATTGATTGATAGAAATGATGGTCCACAGACATTTTCGACCTCGAATGTTTCAAAAGCAGTGTTGACTCTTAGCGTTGACACTCAGCGCATGTCCATTGTGACACACGTGCGTCACGTGCAAACTAAAGGATCAGTGTTGGTCTACGTTTTGCAGATGTCCATTCACAGCTTAATTCCTGTCAACTCGTACTTTATAACTTGGTCCTAAAGCAGCATTGTATGTTAACCTACTTTTATATATTTAAATACCATGTTAAATATGCGTTAAATGGAAAAACAATGGACTTGATATATTTCATTTGTACTTTAAAAATAGATTGCTGTCTTTTGAATGTCAGCATTTGCAAAAATAACAGGGATAAATATTCCTAGCACTCAACCCATGAGTTGATGATGGCATTTTATCTGTATGTCAGTATATAGGTTAAAAACGTCAGCACAGTATATGGACAAGCAGCCTTATTTTTTTAGTTCAAGGAGAGATAATGAAAGTAAGCTGGCAACATTGACACTATTTTTAAACGTTAAAAGTTCATTGTTATTGACCTTCTATTCGAAAATTTTATTTGCAACAGGTAGGGAATCATGAGGGTCACGCAGGGGAGACATGTGCTCATTTCACACCGTCTATCTATATGGATGACTTATTCTATTTTTATAAGTGTTAAGGTGTGCTTAACATGTGTCATTTTCACACATATGCCTGCAATATATAAACAGGTCACATCTCGTAGAATCCTGTATAGCCATGCTGCCAGCGATAGCCTTCATTACAGTCTTCCTGTGTGCGGAGGTGATCTCCGACACCACAGTCACCATCTACAATGAGTGGCTCTCCCAGGGTGGACGAGTCCATTATGAAGTGGACAGATGGAACAACAAGGTTACAACATCCTCAGCCTCAGGAAAGTTCTAATGTCAAGACATAGCATATGGAGGACATTTCCAAATGGGACGCATCAATGGCCAAAATGATGCCCGATGCAATTCCCATGATGATTTCCGGTGAACAACGTATTTGCCACTGCATGTGTTTGTGACGGGTACTACCGGGGATACAGTCATAGTTCTGCTAACTAATTCATAGTCGTTCATAAATACTTGCTCATGCCATAGTAGGAATCGTACCATCGAGTTCGATGCTAGCATATGGCTATACATTCATTTTGCACTAAACATACCAGGTACAGATGTTATCATACGAGAGGCAAATTCATTTCAGCGTTTTGAAACCTAAACACCTCACTGGTTTGAACCCCACCAAATTATTGTTCCAGTTAGAATGTCTGACATTATGATGTTGCACCTACTCTACTGATAACCCAATGCATAGTCTATCGTCAGTAAGACTTATACTATGATCTATTTTTATAGCGCAGAGTTCCAGCTAGGCTGCTCACAGGCGCTTTGTTTTTCCCTCGATCATAAGATGTCAGTCTTAACGGCACTTCGTATTATCAGTCCCAACTCCTGGGGGGAGCATACAACTCTTGCAGCCACTAGGCGCACCGAGTAAATGTGGCTTTCCCATCCTTACGAGATAGCAATTCACAGCTGGGTGGACTGGGACACATAGTCACAGTACTTTGCCCATGTTTACTGCACGTTGCTGTACCTTCAACTAGGTGTTTGCACGTATTCATGTGGCCCACCATCTGGTCATATACCAACGGATGCGTGGGTTCTTTTAAGTACACTTGGTTGTGTACTGTACACTAAGGGTTGTGACAAAACTGAAAGAGTCTGCACCTCCAAGGTTTACACCCGGTCACAGGTGGGCTCGATCCCGGCACCTCAAGCTTGCCCACCACCTCAATCCATATTTCAATTTTCAATTATATAATTAATCGTTCTGAATATGCAACACCATGTCTTTACATTTAGAACAAATTTCATGGCTTTTGTAAGTGATGCAACAATATACCTGAAGACATGTGAATATTCCAATTGATATTGAATAAAACTATAATTGGTTTGAAACTGGTCACTTACAGAATTATAAATTCTTACAGTGGGGTTTAAAATGGCACATCCATTCAGTAATCCTTGCTTCTTTTAATCTCTTTGATTGATTTTCTCACAAATATTTATGGACATAACAGTGGCACCAAAGTTCAAGTCACCATGGTTACCCAGACACCCACTACTTACAAGATCACACCCTACAGAGGGACACCTTTAGCAAGTACATGGAGCAAGTTCATAATTTTGGAAATGGCATCAAGAATATTATATGGGTAATTAATGGTACGTAATTTGACCACATATCAATGAAGGTAGTTTCTATGGTAGTTTCTCGAACCAATGGAAACAGACACTACTGTACAGAACTATTTTGTGTGCAAAGTGCAATTCAGTCGTTTGGAGGAACATAAGGACCTGGATATATATAGTAGTATGTTGGTGGTTGGCTTCAGTGATTTACGGATGCAAAGTCGATTGTGTTATTTTCTATGGTTATGATGGTGTTCCACAAAGCGTCAGTTGTGTTACTCTTATTTATTGAATTTGTTCCAAGAAGGAGGAATTAGACACACATTTGTGTGCTCTAGAGTTTTGCGCTTTGCTCTGTCCCCAATAGGCCGAATATACAACAAAGGCAAAAACATTTTTAGAATAAATTTCAGCCTGTGTAACAGAACAGCGCAATGTCAAGCGCTTACAATAATATCCATAACTGGTAGCTTTACTGCCATGAACGGGATGTGACTGGCACTAAATGAACTATCATATGTATTATCTTCTTTGAATGGCGTTGAGTTATTTGGGGAATATTATATTTCTTAGGTCTCAGCTGGCCAAACTGGATCGACAAGTCGCATCATGGAGGCAAGTTTCCTAATAACGTAGACGCTGCTGCAGAGTTCGTGTCTCTCATGGTTCAGGGTGCCAAGGATTACTCCGGAGGACACCTACCAGCTTATTTTGAAGTCATAAACGAACCAGACGCTTCGTGGCAGGCTCTGGACGCAGGGACTGTCAGAAACTTCCACAAAACTGTCGCTCAAAAGCTCAAATCAAGATTTGGCATCAAGGTGGGAGGTCCAACCTATACTGGCTATACAGTCAGAACAGATGCTAATAATTTCCATGCGTGGGAGAGAACAGAAACAGTTTATGGACATGTCTCTAGATCACATGGACTTCTTTTCCTTCCATGCTTACAACGATATCAATGTATCGGGTGGTAGTCATAACTTTGAAGGCTTCAACGAAGCACGTCTGGTTGCCTTCATTGACATGATAGAGAACTATTCTCATATAAAGAAAGGAAAGAATGTTCCTTTAATTATCAGCGAGTTTGGCAGAGGCGGAGTTCATGGAATCAGTCAGGAAGCCCATTCGGGAATTGTAGATTTTGGCACTTTGTACCTAGGATTTGGACAAATGTTTACTTATCTGAACCTGAGAGAGTTTATGGAAAGAGCAATCGTTTTCCTTCTGGCCAATGAGCAATATCCAGGTCATAATAGTCTCAACTGGTCCCTGTTCACGAAGGATGGGCATGAAACAGCACTTGCAAACTACTTCCGTTTCTTTCAAAATCTGTACTACGATCAGAAGTTTCTTAGATTTGAAAGTGCGTACACGGGAGGGGAGAGAGTAGTTTCACCTCTTGCCCTCGCAAACCCAAATAACAAAGATGTTATGGTACTCCTTTATAACTACGGAAAGCAATGGCAGAATGTAAAGCTGGACTTCCACAACGGCTGGATCCACCCAACAACAGGTGTGTCTACTTGCCTTCAGTACCAGAATGGCAAACCTGTCATGCACTGGAACGTCCACTTTGACACCAGCAAGAACAATGGGAAAGTCGGTCTCCCAGGAGAGGGTGTCTGTTACTACAAGTTCGGCACCAACTACAACTTTGGAGGCGTCAAGACTAATAGTGAAAATACCTACTATGGAAAGAATATGGTAATCCCTATTAGTAACGGACATGCGCAAACCACAATTCAGGTACCGGGATCCGGCTTCCATACTGCACGTCTTAGGATCGGTGTAAGCAGAAGCAAGAGCGCAAACGGAAAACCCACTGTAACGTTTAATGGGTATACATTGTCATCCAACTACAACCTGTATGATTCAGACAAGAACAACGCCCCGACCAAGTGGGAATTGTGGGAATTCTCAGTGCCTGCAAATAGAGTTCATTCTTCCAATACAATCGGTATGTCCCTGGGAGGAAATGGAGGTCATGTTAGCTCTGTCGCATTGGTTGTTGGACACCTTCAATAATAAAGAGTATTGCAAAACTATCAATTTTGTATCCTTGAATCCTTCCTTGGACGTATTTTAATTGCTCGCACCTATTTATCAAAGAATTTGTTCCTGGGTGCATGAAAATTTTTCATCAGGGTCGGCATGTCCAGACAGTGGGAAATCTTCAGCCATAAGGAATATCGAACATACTTTCTAGGTTATCAAATGAATATGTTGCCTTACTTTTAATACATATCTTGACATGATTCGAACTTCGAGTAAGATGTCCATGAACAACGAGGAGAGTTCTATGGATATACAACTTCTTTAATATAATATGAGCGACGTTTCAGTGTAGAGCGCTACTAACACCGTTATCAAGCGAAACTTCCACGTCTCCATGAAGACGGCGGATAACTTGTTCGAGTGGCATTTAGAAATTGGTGTGATGAACAACGAGGGAGTCTATTATATTAAAGAAGTTGTATATTCATAGAACTCTCCTCGTTCATGTCCATGGTTTTACATGGAAAATAAGGGGATATGCGTATGGAGTTATTAATCAAAATATATTTAATCCGCATAAGATGGGGTTTAAAATATATATCTAAAATTAAAAAGATCTTATTTTCAAATACATATCACTTTAATGAAAATGATGGATAGAACTCGGGAAAACAATCACAAATAGATGCAAACATTCCTACCTCTTAGTGGAGTTGCATTTTTACCTTGCAGGGATTTGATTATGTAAGTGGTGAATTTTAGCACTGAAGCATAGTTATGTTACCTTGGTGATTTCCCAGGTCTGCTGGAAAGATCCAAATGTCCAGGAATTATAATCTTAGTTACTATATATCAGGGAAAGTATGAGTACCGGTCTACGAGTATTTTACCTCTGCTGAAAAAAGGTTACTTTAGTGCAAACACCCAGTGTATTGTATGTTAATTATGATAGACACGATCAGAAATTATGCGACGCCAGAATAGCCTTCAAACCAAATGCATAATGTGCGGAGAAAGTTTACCATTGATAACATAGATAGGCAATGGAAAATATGATGTCGAATGTTCCCAGAGGATATGCCGTTATAGGATGAAAAGATACGGGATAATGCGTCGCGGTATTACAAACATTTTAGGTGATAAGATCAGCCATGAAAATAAGAACCAGTATTACGTCACCTGGATTGTGGATTTCAGAGAAAGGAAACACGCAGTGATATTTGAGGATAAACGTGTTTGTTTAAGTATACTGTAAGTTTGGAAAAATCATGCTCTCGTGAGACCATTGCGAAAAATGCAATTGTCTTTTGATCGCATGTATTTTTCTTTTGTGTCTCAATTACGACTGCCTATCAAGCTATTCCTTCAGGTGAACGAAAGGCTGGTTCCAAGCATGGTCAATAAAGATGTGAAATGTGCAGAACAACATCACTAGACATGATGATCTTCTATTTAATCTGTGTTTCCTGGTATGCTGGGCATTGTTTTATGTTCAGAGATCAATATTACCGTGTAGTTTCTCGTTAACGTAGCCGGAAATAGAAATAAATATATTAGCCCAGATCTACCGGTTATATACTTGAAACATGATTAAAGCTTTGATGGCTATTGGCAGATACTTTTTGCGTATGGACCAATTATACCAGTCACTGTTAAAGCTCCTCGCGAAAACATCATAGTCACACTAAAAGAAATATTACTTTAAAAGTGTCGAAGCATCTCATTTATCATATATGTGTCCATTCTCAGCCAAATAAGGCGCCTCTCAAGACGTCATTATTGTGTATCTGGTCTCGGTTGCTGTTGGTAATGAGGTGTTGGTCCCACCAGTTTCGATTTGAGTGAAAACAACGTTGAAAGAAATACGGTAGCGCACATACCAGTTTCAACACAAACAACAAACTATTCCACACAACGGAATATTTAGGAGCCTAAGTCATTCAAACAAAACACTAACGAAAGATTACGAAATAGAAATTCCATGCGAAATCCTTTACATTAACGCTCTTTGATTAACGTTCGACTGAATACATTTCGGGTAACGTTCATGGAGGCATTTTCTCCCTTTGCAACTCTTCTTCTGTTGATGGAATATCAGCTTAATATTGCGCTGCATTGATGGCTAGGCATCAACAGTCGCATGGTATTTAGAGATGCATATATATGAGTGCAGTTATGTACATTCGTAGTTACGGTCTATAACAAGTTTGCCTATTATGTTTTATATAGGCGTAAAATTATTCCTTATCAGATGCTTTGAATACAATGCAGCCCATGAAACGTCCTGTAAAGAGGAGGACATAGCGATCCTTCATGACGATGAATATTGTTTCCATATTTTCTTACCCCTCTTTGAACAACGTTAGAATTACCACGGTTAGGTTATTTTATTCACACCATCAAGGAAACATTTGCCTTGAGCTCGTACCATTAAACGAAAAGGCTGGTATCGCTACATAGGTATAAGTCAAAAGGCCCGAGTCAAATGGAACCTTACAATACTCCTATTACCTCCAAACACAAGTCCTAATGAGCATTCAAGGCTGAAATGAGGATGTACTTCCTGTGAAGTTACAGATGATATCGAAGGACCTGTCAGTTGTTTCGTGTTGAGTTCATGTAAACGAATGTTTGAATGGTATTTCGAACTGATACACAGGAAATGGGTCAACTTCGGTATTGTAAGGGACAAGGCTTTTCGAAATATATTCTTACTCACCTTCAGGTGAACAGAGGTTGTAGTGTTTAAATACAGGTCTCTGGGTGGCACGTGGTGATAGATGTACATCATGCATGAGGCGTAGATATCTAAACACACACACGTATATACATGTACATGTACATTTGTACATGTGTGCTCGGAGGAAATGGTGTATGTTAACACTTGACCTTGTCACCTAGGTGGTGATGTTCGTTGTCAGTGACAGGATTGTTATTGAAGTGCTATTACGATAATTTATACGTTGGCTGTAACTTTGGGTCAGTCAGTACAAGTGAATTGGTTTTTGATTTAGCAATAACAGTTCATCGATATACTTGAAGCTTATGTTGAAACCCTTCGTTGTGGAGAAGGGTTTGCTCAGTCATAGCGATGACACCCAACACTATTACCGACTCGCCTCAAAATCAGTCATAAAGTTGCAGGTTGACATTGGCCAAAAGTTTCCTTAATGCCACCAGACATGACCACGCATATCACGAGACTGCAAAGTAAAGCGGAAGTCATCTGGAACCGTAACACATGCGCAGAGACACCTTTGATGTCTGTTGGCTATCTCACGACTAGGGCCGGTCCAACGTATGGTCGCGGAGCACATATACTAACGGAAACAATTAACTCTACATAACATAAACCTGCATGAAATAATAATATCCCTAAATAAACATGCAGCAAAGCACTTTGCATGATATGTGATGTCACGTATCGCGCGTGGCACGTTCACTTTGTGCACAATGAACTTACTCTCTTGTGCATGCTTTTTGAAATCTGAAGTTTACACATCTGATATTGACAACTGAAGAACGGTTGATTATTCTCCAGCCTCTAAATGTTGTGGAAAACACGTTAATTTAACATACGCGTGCGTCATGCCACGGCTTACAGAAAATCTACGCCGTGGGTATGCTGGAGACTGGATTAACCCATAATGACGTGGCCAGACATTTTGGTGTCCATCGAAACACGATCTCATCTCTATGGAGACGTTTTCAACATAATGGGAGCACGAGAGATTTGCCTGGGACCGGCCGTCCACGCCTGACGTCACGTCAGCAAGACAAACACATTTGGCTGACCCATCTAAGGAATCGATTCCAGACTGCCAGTTTGACTGCTTGGACCATACCTGTCTTACGTCTAATCAGCTCCAGGACTGTACAGAACACAACATCGATACACAACTGCAATACGTCCAATTTTGCTCCAACAGAAGAGAAAATTGGGATGGTGTTTTGTTCAGTGATGAGTCGAGATTCATTTGGACAGCTCCGATGGCAGGGCGGCAGGGCAAGGGTGTAAAGACGGCGAGGTGAACAGTATGCTGATGCGTGCGTTGTTGAACATCGACAATTTTGTGGCGCTAGCGTTATGGTATGGGGGAACATCATATCTCATGGTGGGACACAACTTGTCATTGTCAATAGCAATGTGACAGGTTTGCGAGACAGGGTATGAATCATTGGGTCTCATGTACAGCCGTTCATTCAAAGACAGAGACGTAACTTCACGCTTCAGCAAGATAATGCCCGTCCACTTGTCGCCCGTGTTATGACAGATTTCCTGAGACAACAGAACACCCCCGTACCAGCTGTTTCTCCAGACCAGTCCCCTATGGAGCACGCTTGGGATGAAATGGAGCGACGTTTTTTACGCCAAGCCATTGATGTTAGCTGAATTGGGACAAGCGTTGGTTCAGACATGGAACAACATTCCCCAAGTTTTCTTCAATCGTTGGTGTCGTCTATGCGTCATCGTTGTCAAGCCTGCATCAACGCCAATGGTGAACACACACGATACTGAATTTGTGAACTGACTTTTGACACCACATGTCTTAAAGGACGTAAATACAAAAAAAAGAAATTATATTAAAAAAATGTACATCAGTATATATGCAAATCTAAACGATTCCAGTAGTTATCTTTCTTTGCACCTTTTGTCCCTAGGGTTTATTAGGTACCCCTGCTAATCACAGACTGAAACACCGTGCCGCTGCACGCTTCCATCAGTTTCCACCAAGCCACGCATCGCTTGTCCACACGCAAACAAGGAATGGAATCTCGACTTCAAAATGCAAAATCTGTAATTGATTGATAGAAATGATGGTCCACAGACATTTTCGACCTCGAATGTTTCAAAAGCAGTGTTGACTCTTAGCGTTGACACTCAGCGCATGTCCATTGCGACACACGTGCGTCACGTGCAAACTAAAGGATCAGTGTTGGTCTACGTTTTGCAGATGTCCATTCACAGCTTAATTCCTGTCAACTCGTACTTTATAACTTGGTCCTAAAAGCAGCATTGTATGTTAACC